GGCTCTCTAATGTACTAAAGTGTTTACATTTGTGATAATCATGATTGGTTATCACAACATGCACAAGGTACGGAGCCACTCCTTTTGGTTCTGCACATTTGAGGAGATTTTCTAAAACTGGTGCGCTGTGCATAAAATCTGGTGCAGCTGTGCATAGTATCCAATCAGCTTCTAGGTATTTTTTCAAAGGTTAATTGAACAAGGTGGCGTTAGAAGCGGATTGGTGCACAGAAAATCTGGTGCAGATGTGCACAGTGACCTGTGATGCCTGATGACAGCTCAGATCACAGACAATCGTGGGGGTACTGGCTGCACACTTATAAAAAGTAAAATTCCAGCTCAGAGAACGCAATTCTAATCTCTTCAAATTAATGTCTGTATGTGTGTAAAATACTGAACGCCAACGCAGTCAACACTTGTATACCTAAAAGCATTAAGACACTGTACAACTCAGGGCTTAGACAGCAGCAGCCTCCTTCTGAGGTCTATGAAACAAAAACAAAGCAGACGTTACCTTTGGTGAAAATCACATGTATAACAATCAGATCTACATATACACGCAGTTTGACAGTATGCATACATTGTTACTGTCCCTAAAGTGATCTGTGCTTCTTGACTTTCCTATTAAAGCCAAGACTGGCTCCGCCTCTCAAGTTCCCATGTTTGGGCCCTTTCATACAGGCACCTTCTGTTCCGAACAGCAGGGAATCTGTCTGCTGATCAGAGCAGGGCAGAAGAAAGATCTGTGTCTGCTCAGTTTATGCAGAGCGGGTAGCCAAACCCCGCTTTGCTCTATGGGAGGTGGCATGTAAACCGACTCCACTGTCCATCTACACCCAGCTGCCTCCAATCTAGTCCACACAAACAGAAGAGGACGCAGTCCTCCTGAATTTATTTTAGCCTGATTGGACTCGGTGGTAAGCGGATGTCTGTTTACACCTGCCGGTCCATAGGAATGCATGGACCTTCTAAACAGATTCATCTAATAAACTGATAGACAGACCTGATCAGATTGTCCGTGTGAAAGTTTTTTAATGTGCTGGGTGGCATCTGACTTGGGGTGGGGGGGCTCAACCCTTACAAAAAACATTTGCATAGAACTTCAGTTGCCTATATCCCTGGATCTACTGTTTTAATTGAACAAATGCCCCTCGCTCCTAGTTTCCAAATTCACAGTTTGAAAAGCCTGATTTTTTTTTTTTTTTTTTAAAGTAGATCTAATTGTGCTGTTATCATAGCTAAAGCGTTTTGTACTTCAATGTAAGATATCGCTACAATGGCTGTCAACTGTTACTGTAATTTCTCTCCAAACTGCTATTTGCAATACAAACTTATCTGTCTTGCTGGAAATAGATACAAAGATCTTATTCCATCTGTCATGTTATTTAGTGGTTATCTGCACAAAAATTTCCTTCTTTACTAACAAAATGACACTTAATACAAAAGCGCAAATAAAAAAAAAAAAAAGTTTAGGCAAAAATCCTGCTAGCAAAGCATTTCAAAAAGAGGAAAATCCCTCCCCCAGTACCAGGTTCTGTCCAGACAGAGCCAAGCTGTTTTGTCCATCTGTCTGCACCAGCCAAACCATGGCATTAGAGTAGGCAAAGTTCCCCCCCCCCTTTTGGATAGAGTAAGGGAGGGTTTAAAACCCCCATCAGATTTTTGTTTTGCCACTGGGGAGATTTAACTTCACTTCCGGTCCCATAGCCAAAACAGGAAGTCTCTGCAAATTAAGGGAATCCCTTGCGGTCCCCAGACTAAATGTCTCCATTGAAAGACTTCCCCTCTGTTACATTTCTGGGGACAACACAAAACTTGGGATTTTCTATTACTTTTACTTTCAAGGATAATGGTAAATAGGACAAATAGAGGGTGAATATCCCAAAGAAGGGCACAGACAGCAAAAAAAAAAAAAAAAAAATTTAAACAGGCGTTCCAAGCCATCTCCTCTCTATCCAAAATTAAGGAAAAAAAAAAAAAAGGTTTTGCTTTTAGTTAGTTTAGTTAGTTTAAAGTGGAAGTTTAGCTGAAAAGGTTTATCCCTACAGCTTTCTTTTCCTAACCTTACATGTAATTATGTCCCACATAACGCAGGCAGTTGGATTCTGTAGAAATCTTCACTGCAGAGATGCCCCATCCTCTCCCCATCAGAGCATCAAGTGCACAGGGAGTTAAGCTCTGGGTCTCTGGGCTGATTTCAAATCAAAAAGTTTGCCAAGGGGAACCAGCCCCTTCCACTGAGAAAAGGTACATCATTGCTTTCACTGCCTACACAATATGTAAATGGGGAGGAGAGAAGTCAGACTCTCCACCACTCACAGATTGTGCTAGAAGGGGTGAACAACAAAAACGTCTTAATGGAGGAGGGAGGAAGGAGGGGATAGGTCCCCTTCAGGAACTTTTTTTTTTTTTCTTTTTGAATGCAGCCAGGAGACCCGATGCTGTTAACCCCTTGTGCACCCATGTTCAGGGGCAGAAGAGAACAGGCATCTCTGCAGTGAAGATTTCTACAGGGCCATCATGATGGCACAAACCTTGTTCAATCAGTGAATGCTTTGCACTCCTTGAGAAAATGCAAAAATGTTCTCTGAATGGCACCCATGCTGAGTGGGTAGCCTCCTAGATTCACTAAGCAGCCGGACAGCCACTCGGGGTGGGACGCAGAAGCTAGGGGCAATCATAGTAGTGGTGCCCACTACGGTGATTTCCAGCTACAAGGGAGATCAGCCAGGTATGGGACATGGTACCAAGCTGCACCAAAGTAACCATGCCTGAAATTCCTCTTTAAAAGCATACATAAACCCTCCTTTCCCTTTGTAGCCACAGCCCCATATACAGCTCACGTTTCTGCCAATTTTTTCTGAATTGGCCAAAATTCAAGCCATGGATTGCCATGGCAAAAAAATGACTGACTGAACAGTGACTGCATTCCCATCAGATATTCAAGAAGCTGTGGCCGTACATGATTGTTTGAATACAATAGCGAGCAGAGGTTCTTCCATCCAGCCTGGATCCACATGGATGGAAGAGTCAAGTGACCTTCTCTTGTTCAGCCTGCAGGTTTTAAAGGCTTGGTTCACATATGTGACAAAAAAAAAAAAAAAAAAAAAAAAAAAAAAAAAAAGAAGAGTGTGAACAGAATGTTCACAAAAAAGCGGTTACATAAAAGGACAAGGCAGTACACCAACACATAATATAATGCTTTTATTAGCAAAATATTGCAGTAACAGAAGTGAAAACTGTATTGCAACCATCACCTCACCTTAGACAGTATATACAGTACAACCTAAAAACAAAAATAAAAAAAAAACGTCATGACTTGGCCAAAGTGCATAGTATGCTGAATTGGCAGCGACTGTGCTGTCTTCTGCCAAGTTACAGCAAACACATCGGGGTGTATCACCGGGGTATAAAAACATGAACCTGGTGTTTGATTAATCAGTGCAGTAGGACCAGCTGAATATAAATAGTGACAGTATACTGAAATAAGCATATATCAAAACAGTCACAATATGTTAATAACAGTCCCGAATGTGGGATAGGTCACTTAATATAACAAATTCCTGGCACATGAATCAAGGCGAGCAGAGTCAATAGTCAATGTTTGTGGAAATGGCAACACAATGTGGCATTGGCATCAACCAGAAGAAACATCACCTGCCTTGCAGGCCGCTGGAATAAGTGTACCATAAATGCTGTAAAGGGATCCTTACTGGATCAGTAGGGTAAATGGTGTAGCGTTGTTCATCCTTAAGTGTTGTCCAGGCATGAGTAAGGTGTAAGGACTCACCACCTGCTCAGCCAGTTGAAAGCAAGATCACCTTCCAGGGATGGAAAATTCCTAGAGGGGAGTCCAGAAAGGTGCGCCGTCAATCAGTGGTCAGCACTGAAAAGGTTTGCCATGACTCTTCGGAGTTTATTTACTAAAGCTGGAGAGTCCAAAATCAGACTCCTTTCTGCATAGAAACCAATCAGCTTCTAACCTCAGCTTGTTCAGTGAAGCTTTGGCAATGAAACCTGGAAGCGGATTGGTTTCTATGCAGAAGCGAGTCTGATTTTGGACTCTCCAGCTTTAGTAAATAAACCCCCTCGTGTCACCACCCAGGACAAGGTGCGTCAACCCGGTGAACACGGCCAGCCGTGATGTCACTGACGTATGACGTCAAACACATTTTGCCAATGGGCTTACCTTACTCAGCTTCGTCAGGACTAGTTGGTTCACATATATGCATTTTGCGTTTGATGCTGCTTTCTCCTGTGCCTTCAGTAAGGTTTTGCATTTTTCTACATGCCTTAACGCGTTGTGCATTCAGCTTTTTTTATTTTAAAAGTGGAATATTTTTTTTTTTTTCGCTGGGCAGAATAAGAATGCAAAAAATGCAGCAAAAATGCACTACCACCACAAAACACTGTAGCTGCTGAATTTTAAAAAAACAGCCACTCACCCAAGCTAGGATCCAGCGGTGACCTCACCGGCTACCCTGTGTCCCCAGCATCGTAGCCTCCCTAGCGGTCTGATTATGTCCATATTTCTGTGCTCAAAGCGGTACATTTTTTTGCATGGAAATATGTATTTGTTTTATTGTAGGCCTGTAATTTGTAGGAATAACTCACTGAAATCTGTCCGAACAAGAGTCTAGTAAACATCCCGGGTATGTTAAAATTTGAAACACAAAATAAATTAGAATTTATCAAAAAAAAAAAAAAATTTCATTAAATATAATCAAACCAAAAACACTGAAATTTGAAATAGAGCGCCAAGTTCACACATCACTAAGCAAAGTCGCAAAATCGTTTTCAGTGTCTGTTGACGAATTTCCCCACAAATCATCACTCAATTCTGCAAGTGGTTCTGATTTACTATCACTGTTCTCTAGCTGGTCTAAAACCGCTTTTGACCTAAAGGGACGCTTTTTGGATGCCATGGACATTTCTCAGTTTCCAGGCAGAAAGAACAGTAAAAATGCAGGCAGGGCACAGGACAAAGCACTAGGGACAAAATGTATGTGAAATGCTTTGATACAGTAATGTTTTACTATGTGATTTTAGTGAATGTCACTTTTACAACTTTCAAATTTCCCGCCGTTCCGTCCCCCGTACGTCCTGATGTCGCAGGGAACAGAACCCGGAAGACAGATGCCGGCATCCACCGGAGGACATTGCCGGGGACATCGCGGAAGCGAAGGACAAGGTAAGTGAAGTGGAGATCTCGGAGCAGCGCTGCAGGTTATTCCCGAGTGTAGCTCGGGGTTACCGCTTGTGGTACTGAAACTTTACCCCGAGCTACACTCGGGAATACCGCCATGGAGGTAAGAGTGGGCACTTGGCCGTGACAGCTTGTGCCTGTCATAGGAGGGTGGAGAACTTCTGCTTCCGATCAGGTAGGTAGAAGCAGGGATATCTGTTAAAATAGAGTACAGGCCACCACCTCCCCCACCCAGCTCTCCCAAAGATGCCAATCCCTTTTGGGTAGAGCTCTGCTTTAAGGGCTCTGTGCAGGGAA